TTTCTCAGATCGCCTATAAATCGATATGAAATTCTACAAATATGCATTAGTTTAGCTTGTCGTCAGCCTCAGAATTAGTAACTGTACTGTGCTGCTGACTTGATATGTAATGCATAAAACCGACACGAGAGCTGCTAGCTAATAATGCAACTTTTTATATTTATTTACCCACATTTACACAAACAGAACTATAAGTAAACGAGAAATAGCATTGCAACTTCACACATGCAACTCCATATGTGCTAGTTTGACCTTGTGTATAAATTATATGTTGATAAAAAGATTGATACATTTTCTTTTCCTTTTTAGCTACAAGCGTGGCAAGTGTCATCAACTCCGAGGCACCCCAGACCACCAGTACCACCGGTCTCAAGCTTCAATATTAAAATAAACAAACTTGTAATAAACAAATTAAACGTGTTGACTTCTTTGGTCAATCGTTACGATAGACAACTCTGATCACCAGAAAATGATAGATGTAACGTAACATTTATTTTGATAATGCATAATCTAAGTAGCTATAGCTGTAGGCTAAACTAAAAATAAATAAATAGCGAAATATTTCTTATAGTATTGATTTTTAACCATAATGTTACTGATTACGTTTGGTAACACAATAAAAATATACACTATCTCAACATTTGAATAATATTGTTCTGAGAATCATACCTCAGTGGACATGGCTCGGGCGTCAGTTTGGTTTGAAATGTGCTGGGGACAGAGACGCATTCGGAAGGGCATTTTCAAAAGTGCGGGTATGCTACAATAACGCATTCATTCTTTTTTTCTCTTTCGAGTAGGTCATGTTTTGAAAGACGATGTCCTGTAGCTTCCTGATGCACATAAATAAAAATGAGCACAATGTCCGAGTATAGAGAGTATTAGAAAATATACGCCCTTGATAGCATATGTACAGTGATGGTCCGTCCAGAGGTAGAATTCCGCACTCGAATAGTTTTTTTCCCCCTCATCAAAACCAATAAAGTTTATCAGTGGTTGAATTTAATAATGTTTATCAGTGGTTTTATATGTTTTGATGAGTGGGAAAAAATATACGAGAGAGGAATTAGAAACAATGAGAAAAAGGGACACGTTTGTGTTGCATTTTGATTTGTGATTTCACCGGAAAGAATCTCCGCCACGGATTGAAGCGCAATTCTGAGAGAAGGTAACACATTTTCAGTGCTAGATCGCCTTTATTTAACAAACAAATGAAACGAATGCTGTTAACTGGAGATGTTTTTGCATTGTACATCTGTGCCGCGAGATGTTTTAAAATTGGTGGGGACAAAATCAACCCTGTCAAAAAGTGGTGGGGAGATGTCCCATCCGTCCGGAGAGTTACGAGTTTACGACAGTTTTCTCATATATATATACTCCGAAACTGTAGGGGGAGCTCGAGAGAGAAACCTGCGAGAAAACAGCAAAGAAGTTCCCAGTCTTACTGAGCGCTGCTTTAAAACATTGTGTACACATGCTTTTCAACACGTCTGTAAACACAGCAAACACCATCAAATAACCCTTTCTCTTGTTCATCTAGCTGATATAACTCAGGTACAACAGCTAAAGACAATGTAAACTTAATGACTTAAGGTCAGAAGCCCAACTAAAGCAAACACTGATCACCATAATGGTAACATACCAATGACGATTTTCCCCTTCAGTGATTCTGCTTGTTAACATCAGGTGTCTTTCGATAATGTTCAATCATCACTCAAATATTCACTGAATTATCCCATTAACTTTAACACTGCTTCAGTGTTTATTTAACACTCTGCTCAGAGTTGATATAATTCTCACTTTTCAGTGTTGATTTAACATTGGGGATTTTATGTGCTGAGAAACAAAGTCTACTCTGTGTAAGTTAGTCACAGCTAGATCACCCAGTAACTCAAGACTGGTCATCCACTGAAGCTAAGCAGGGTTGAGTCTGGTCATTACCTGGATGGGAGACTCCTGGGAAACTAGGGCTGCTGTGAGTGGCCAGCAGGGGGCGCTGCTCACCAATAATCTGTGGGGTCCTTATGCACCAGTATAGTTTAATACTCACACTTAGTTTCCTATATTACAATATATTACGAGCTCATCACAAGGAAAAGACATCCTCAGGAAAGGAGACATATTAAACACAAATGTAGAGGTTTAATTAAGAAAATAAGTAGAAATAATTCAAAAAGAAAAACAATCACCAAATCAGCTGCATCACACCGAACAGATCATTGATATTACAGTCTGCCTCTGTCCATTACTCAACTTATTGTTATATTTTAAAGCAGTTTACATATGAAACACAAGAAAATGACTTTCATCACTACAGGCAAATGTCCATAAAACCCATTCAAATGGAAATAAATCTGGCGTTTTATAAAAATAAAAATAAATTTTAATCTAAGCTTGAACCAAATATTTCTTTAGGATGATCAAGAAGGAAGAAAATAAATCAAACAATCACACAATCATAATTATTGTTGCAGATTCGCTCAAAACTCTGTATTTTATTGTTGTATTGCAGACATCTCTATTTCTTCCGGGTGTCTCGAGTTCTTCCTCCCTGCAAAATAAAAGCATTGCCTGACCTCTGGTGTGTGTTTATCATGATTGCAGATGTTCAGATCAGACGAGTGTGAATCTTCAGAGTGTGTGCGGCTCAAACTCACCAGCTCTTCTTGCACAGATGATCTGAAGAAGAATCACAGTAGGAGCAGCAAACACTGCCATCTCAACAATACTCACAATCACTGCAGGAAACATGAGAGGAAGAAGAAGAGAAACTGGACATGACTGAAGTCAAGGGTCTCCATCTATCAACAGTTATTGATGAAGCATTTACAGACGGACTGATAGTGTAATGTTAGAAAGCTGTCGGTCTAAATCAACGTGTCGTACCTCTGTATAATAATCCAGCAGTTCCTGTGGACGTGCTGTTACTGTAGTAGATGTAGTTGAAGTCACAACTATTAGAAAACAAGATGGAAATAGAAATATGTCATATTTTAATGCATGAACACAATATATCCTTTGAGGTTTCAATACTGAATTGATGGAATTATCCGGCTGATTTTACTGTGGTGTGATCAAACCACTGAAGCGAGAGTGATGATGTGTGCCAGTGGTCATGTGATCATGAACCTTGTGTAGGAGCTGTTGCTGTAGTTCTGCTTGATGTCTTCTCAGAGTTTGATCTGCTGACTGGAGTCAGTGTTGTTGAAGAGACTGGAGCTGCAGAAGATGAATGTTCACACACATCACCTGTAGGACATTAACATCATATCTTCACATTGATCATGACATGCAGTTTGTGTTCAATCATCACAGCTTACAGTGGCAGTAGTTGAGAAGAGAGATGTTACTGGATCATTTATTCCTGGTTTATATGAGAGTGAAACACAGTTGAACTGCTTCCCATAAACCTTCAGCTTTCCTGAATGAAGGACATTATTAAGCCGTATAACTCCTAAAGCTGAACTCCTACATGGGTCATACTAGGCTTTAATAGATGTATGCAATATTTCATGGATGACCCATGTAGGAGGTTAATATTGGGAATTATAAGGATTTCTATGCTGTGTGACTTACTGTCCTCTAATATTTTACAATATCCAAACGTATGAAGTCATCATCAAGAGTAGAGCCAGTCTGTGGAAGTTTTCTCAAATCTGTCTTCTAACAGTGTTTCTCACCTGAATACTTGACAGTGTATGTGACTGACGTCTGGAGTTGATTTCTGTGAGTAAGCTGACATCTCCACTCTCTGTTGTTATCTTCATTCAGGAGTGTTGTAGTCAGAGTGATGATACAGCGATATTGATCTGATGATGATGATGATGATATCTGATATCTGGAGTCTGTCTTCAGATCAACACCAGCCTGATTCACCCACAACAGCTCAACTCCCTCATAACGAACCAAATAATCACAGGAGAGTCTAAAATATGAATCCAACTGACAGAAGAGAGTCACAGAGCGGCCTGGACTGATCTCAGTCTGTGAGGATGAAGATGATGATGATGATGGAGACACTGAAACTGAACACAAGACACAAATCACAGACTCTTCAATCATCATCTGAGTTTAATAAAGAATCTGCTCTTTTTAAATTGACCATATAATCATAAACTTACCATGAAGAACATGCAGATAAACACGTGCATCAGTTCCTTGTTTCTGTCCGTTCACAAATTGTAGGCAGTCGTATACTCCATAATCTTCTTCTGTGACGTTCTTGATGTTCAGAGAGCAGTCAGACTCCAGACTCAGTCTCTCATGTCTCTCTGTGTCTTTCTTTATCCCTAAAGTAATCAGTTCAACTGTTGCTGAATGTCTGAAGGTGTTAGAGTAGATCCATGTAGTTGATTTGCAGTCAGAAAGAGTTTTATTACAGGACAGACGGACATCTACACCAGAACTGATGAACACATGATCATCATCCGCTCCACTGGTGCCTGAAACACAAGATATAAACAGGAGATTCCAATATTTCAGTGATAATATATATTATAAAAAGCTGAAGTTTTAAATCATAGTCTTGGTAGATTTGATAAATACTGTTCCCCCATTATCATTGAATCACGGAAGCAACACCAGTGACTTTATCAAAGATATTTATATTTATTATGTGTCCGACAGAGAGAAACACAGATATATAAGGCTACATGAGATGATGTCATTCCAGATTTCTGTCTTCTCATCCCATCATGCTTTATGTTTCTCTAATGTACTACAGTAAGATTGAGTTTATTAACATCACAGAGAGACTTACTACTTCCTTGGTAGCAAAACATTTAGCTTATGTTTAGAAATGGAACTTATATGTCATACATGTGGTACTTTCCACTTCTCACATTAAGAGTCTCAGTGTATACATTAGTGGTATGCAAACAGTATTTGTATCAGTTGAAACATCCATTTGATGAAGTGATGAAGTGTATTCATCACTGGAACATCTCTGATAAGTGAACATTACACTTTACTCATACCTTTAAGCAAAATATAACTCTACCAGCTCTCTGCTCAGCACACATGTACAAACATCGTCTGACTTCACAAAAGACATTATGAAATTATTATGAAAATGAATAAATAAAACTAAAAAATAACATTAAACAGTACATTTTTAAGTCTTCAGTCTTCTTCCTCACTCAATGCAGAGTAGACTATTTGTCTTTATCTGTTGAAATAGCTTTTAATATGAATATAATTCTGCATTATCAGATGTTTGAGTGACACTATATCCACAAACTAATGTATTTACCTGTAAGAAGTGAAGAGAGAATGATCAGTCCCAGCAGACACAGATCACACTGATCAGACATTTCTGCTTCTGTCCGTTTCTGTCCGTCTTTCTCATCATTAGATATAGTTACAGCCCCTCCTCTTCATTATATATAGTTACAGCTCCTCCTCTTCATTATATATAGTTACAGTTCTTCCTTTAAACATCGTCAGCTCCTTCTGTGGTTGGTTACTTCCTCTGATCTCATCAACTATAAGTGTTTAAATCCGTTGCTATGTAGTGACACTATCCAGTATAACTTTGTCCTCTCTGTAGATTGGGCTCATATAAACTCTGAACTGTACAACACTGATGATTTTACTTTGTGGTATTACATGGTCTTGACTCTGAGTGACACTCAACTTTCGAAACTAGGCCATACTGCTTCAGCAATGTGAGCATATTATCACTGTTAACCTATTTTCCAGCTTTCAGTATGTATACTAATGACATATACTAAGAAATGATATTAAGAATAGGATCCATGACCTTTGAAAGCATCTTGTTTTGTTAAATAAGGTAGCTATCTGATCTGAGAACACGCATGAAGTTCATCGTAATGTAAAGGTATGTTGGCTCCATTGGATGCCACACGGGTGTCATTTAGTGCTAGTGTAACAAACTTTTCAACAACTTGATTTAAAACTAACTTGTATTGAGGAGTACCCAGGCGAAAATCTATTTTTTTTAAATAAAGGCCCGTGTCTAATAAAACCAAACAAAGTTCACTTTCAAATTATTTAACTTGGTGTGCTTTAATTTGCGTTTATTAGGGGTTCATGCATGTAGCTCTATAACCCTTTTGTAATTGTTAAATTTTCCAAGGATCAGCATTTTCCCCTAAAAGTAATTGGCAACGCACTTTCCTCCGAGGGAATTGTCGCTGTAATGAGTGCAGTGTAAGTCGCTTTGGATAAAAAGCTTCTGCCAACTGCATAAATGTGAATGTCAAACGGCTATAACTACTTCAACATTATTCTGATCTTGAGGCCACGAGTTAGTAACTTGAGGCCACGAGTTAATATCTTGAGGCCACGAGTTATTATCTTGAGGCCACGAGTTACTATCTTGAGGCCACGAGTTACTATCTTGAGGCCACGAGTTACTATCTTGAGGCCACGAGTTATTATCTTGAGGCCACGAGTTAATATCTTGAGGCCACGAGTTATTATCTTGAGGCCACGAGTTACTATCTTGAGGCCACGAGTTACTATCTTGTGGCCACGAGTTACTATCTTGTGGCCACGAGTTACTATCTTGAGGCCACGAGTTACTATCTTGAGGCCACGAGTTACTATCTTGTGGCCACGAGTTACTATCTTGAGGCCACGAGTTATTATCTTGAGGCCACGAGTTACTATCTTGTGGCCACGAGTTACTATCTTGAGGCCACGAGTTATTATCTTGAGGCCACGAGTTACTATCTTGAGGCCACGAGTTACTATCTTGAGGCCACGAGTTATTATCTTGAGGCCACGAGTTACTATCTTGAGGCCACGAGTTATTATCTTGAGGCCACGAGTTATTATCTTGAGGCCACGAGTTACTATCTTGAGGCCACGAGTTATTATCTTGAGGCCACGAGTTACTATCTTGAGGCCACGAGTTATTATCTTGAGGCCACGAGTTACTATCTTGTGGCCACGAGTTACTATCTTGAGGCCACGAGTTACTATCTTGTGGCCACGAGTTACTATCTTGAGGCCACGAGTTATTATCTTGAGGCCACGAGTTACTATCTTGAGGCCACGAGTTACTATCTTGAGGCCATGAGTTACTATCTTGAGGCCACGAGTTATTATCTTGAGGCCATGAGTTACTATCTTAAGGCCACGAGTTACTATCTTGAGGCCACGAGTTACTATCTTGAGGCCATGAGTTACTATCTTGAGGCCACGAGTTATTATCTTGAGGCCATGAGTTACTATCTTGAGGCCACGAGTTACTATCTTGTGGCCACGAGTTACTATCTTGAGGCCACGAGTTATTATCTTGAGGCCACGAGTTACTATCTTGAGGCCATGAGTTATTATCTTGAGGCCATGAGTTACTATCTTAAGGCCACGAGTTACTATCTTGAGGCCACGAGTTACTATCTTGAGGCCACGAGTTATTATCTTGAGGCCATGAGTTACTATCTTAAGGCCACGAGTTACTATCTTGAGGCCACGAGTTATTATCTTGAGGCCATGAGTTACTATCTTAAGGCCACGAGTTACTATCTTGAGGCCACGAGTTACTATCTTGAGGCCACGAGTTACTATCTTGAGGCCACGAGTTAGTATCTTGAGGCCAAGAGTTAATATCTTGAGGCCACGTGTTACTATCTTGAGGCCACGAGTTACTATCTTGAGGCCACGAGTTACTATCTTGAGGCCACGAGTTACTATCTTGAGGCCATGAGTTACTATCTTGAGGCCACGAGTTAATATCTTGAAGCCACGAGTTAGTATCTTGAGGCCACGAGTTACTATCTGTTATAATCTTGAGGCCACGAGTTACTATCTTGAAGCCACGAGTTAATATCTTGAGGCCACGAGTTACTATCTTGAGGCCACAAGAGTTAGTTATAATTTTTTTTTTTTGCCAAAGTGGGACTAGGGGGGCTCCGTAACTTTCAGAACTTGGAGCAAAACAAATCTAAATAAATAAATAAATATAATAACCTTTTTC